GTAACCTTAAAATCTAACCACACAAAAAAGTATCGAAGCCTTCAAGAAGACCAAGGTCTTCTTTTTTTATATATGAAAATGCACGTTTATAAGCAGCACATCTCGATATTTGAAGTCTATTTGTTGGTTAATGCGACCACGAGTGAACTTCGTCTATTATTTGCTGACCTGCGTGCCTTACGCACGACGGTGGTGAGGTGGGAAGGTGGCATTTACGCCAGTACGTATTTTAGGATCAGGATCTGGCTGGGAAATCTTGACGATCACACTTCGTCCTTACATAAACTTTACCTTTTCTCTTTACTTTGTACACCGCCCACGCAAGCTAAATCCTTACCAGTCATTTATTTTTTATCTAACTAAATTTTATAATATAGCTCTTGACGTGGTCATCTTTTTTTAAACTTTCACCTATCCCACGCAGTAAAAGAACTACAAATATATCTTTGCCGAGTTTTCAACGTTTCAAAGGTGGGAAGAGAACCCCCCGTCAACCACTCTGCAGTGTGGACGAAATTCGCTTTCAAAATGTGGCTTCGAAACTCACTTGGCAGGAAAGGCATGAGTTCGAACCACGTCGAAGCCTTTTTCTTTTTGCTGTTTTCTGTTTTGTTTTGTTTTGTTTCTGTTTTATTTATAGTGCGCACGCACAGAAGCAGAGACGCAACAACGATCGCAAAAAAAATACGATTCCCGATTTGAGGAACAATGTTACCCAATTAATATTAGAAAAAACTACATGGTGTGGTTGTCTTTCGGACTGCCAAATGCGAAAAATTGTTCAAAATTAAGAACGGTGAAAATAGCGGATCATGATTGTCTACTTACAGTCGCATATAATTTGAAGACATGCCGAACAATGAAGCTAGCTTCTGACTAGAGCCTAACCAACGAAGCAATAATGCTGGCTCCTCATTGGATTAACTCAAGTCACCTGATATATTCTAGCGTTCCGTAGGCTTTAGCGTGTTATTCGGTTCAAGAAGCGTTTACTAAAAGTTTCAGTCCTACGAAACTGAAGCGCTACAAGTGCACAGTTAACAAGCTAGTCGATCAGGTACACTTTGATCTTGTTTTTCTCATGAATGCCGTGTTACTTCCACGTTTAAAGCGCATAAAGATTTTGATTCTGCGAGGGAAGTTCTGCGCCGCGGATTATGCATGTTGCGAAGTTTTCTTCCTATCGGTAGCTAGGAGAAGTTCAAAGAGATTTGCAATGAACTGCACACGTCACCAGTTTTGTAAAACCTTCAAGCAACAAACCTTTGAATGACACAGACTGATGATATTTTCATACAGCAGGCAAAAAGAGCGCATACCCGGAAAGCTATGTTATTCATGTTCGAACAATGAGTGCAAACCACGTGGAGATTTTGTACTTTCGCCTTTGTTGTGTGATGTCGATTAATTCTGAAATGAATTTAGTGTTTTCTACCTAATGCTCGCTAAGAGAATGCGGATTCTACGTGATGCAAAGCTCTCAAACATTCGGCGATCAAATTATGTTCAGTGCGTCAAAGTTCTTACTTGAAATACGTTTGCTTTTGTTACGGGCCGATCGCGGACTGCCTGATTCTAAAGAGAGAACGAGGCTCTGACTAAAATCGGACGAGGCTTTCATGACAAAATAACGAAACGGTCTCTAGCAATAAAGATTGATGTGGGGCCGAAAAATTATATTTCCTAGTATGACATGCCGTATATAGTTACGGAATGCTCTCTATGAAATTAATCTAGTTGCGTCGCCGTCAATTATGTGGTTTTGTAAGTTGAGGCCCTGATGTGATGAACTTTTCTTAAACGTTTTGCTGAGTATTTTCGGTGATGGATTCGTTGCCAAAAAATCTTTAGGGCTAGGTCAGAGACAACATAAAAACAGGATATGTTTCAGGCGTACAATGATAACTCGTTTGACATTGAGAAAATTCATATCGTCTTAACTTTGTTTGTTAGTCTGGATATGCTGCACGAATAATTCTCAGAATGTGGATAATAATTGCGTAGTTTGAACTGGAAGATAAGTTTCCGGGAATCTGGATCTCGATCACTTGAAAGGAATTAAACCAGAGATTTTGGATCTGAACAGTTGTTGCCTTCATAGTCACAAACAAGAAAATTAAGCTGGTTATGATTGCTAACCTCTTGAGATAAAGCGAAATTACGGCTCATTGTTATGCGGATTTTTATGTGACGAGTAACCTTACAGCATTAATATTAAAAGAACCAGAATAAACAAGACTACCAGTGACATTTTTGGAGATGCATAATCCATCCATTTGTGACACAAAAACTGATAAAAAAAACATTTATTCAAGAAGCAAAGGTTTTGATGACATTCGGCCCTTTTTAGATTAAAAGCTAGCGGTCCAGAGTTTTGAGTCTTGAGTCCAGAGTTTTAGGGTCTTGTAGCCCTAAAATTTGTAAACACAGTCATTGCAAGATGGATCAATTAACTTTGGGCTTTAGTGAGATAAAAATGTGAAATGTGAAAATGTGTAAAATAATTAACCTCTTCCTTCTGACCAAGTGAGGTTTATAGAAAACAATTTTCATTTTTGAGTTTGATCTTTTCTTCAAAAACAAACACAAAAAACACACTCTCTATTTGAAAGTTTCATGATTTCTATCATCATCATCATCATTATTACAATAATTCTTATCATTATTGTCATTACTGTTATTAGAACCATTAAAAATTAGACATAGATATCTATGTTTCACATAATTATTGAACGTCTAGACTCGAAGGACAGATATCAATAAGACCTAAATTTTATCTCCCAGGGAGTCGATCATAAAATGGGTTATCCCATCATCGCATACATTCTCTTCGTTGGCGTCATTTCACTCTGGGTTGAAGGCCAGTTTCCCAGAGTCTGCACTGACCGGGACAGTCTGAGAGACAAGATATGTTGTCCTACCCCTAAAGGTTTCACCACACAATGTGGTTCCGATGGAGACAGAGGAAAGTGCCAGGAATTGACCATTCGTGACTGGACAATCAAGTACAGCCATTTCCAACCGTTCCAGATGAATGACGAAAGACACGACTGGCCCCGTGGTCTTTACCACAAAGTCTGCAAATGCAACGCAAACTATGCAGGTTACGATTGCAGCAAATGCGCGTTTGGTTACTACGGCAAGAACTGCACGCAGAAGAAAAATTTGATACGAAGAAATTTTCTGAGCCTGACAGCCGAGGAGAAAGATCGATTCATGAGGTACGTCAACATGTCCA